TTTACATATTGCTGATGGCTTATAATGCTGTTTTGTTTTAAAATGTTATTGTTTTATGATCTTGTTCATTATTCAGCCATTTAAAATTTGAAAATATTTTTTGTGTTCATAGATATAAATCTAACACTAGATAAAATACATTGATGACAAATACCATTTGTTTAATTTATTTGTAAAGCTTTCAACAATTTGTTGGGGTCATCCATTTTGGTCGCACATTTTGACATGCGCAGCTCTGACGTCACCGAGAGTTAAAACCGGCTGAGGGGGAAAGTGTCGTTGCCATTTCCCGCGTGTCTCACAGGACAGCGCATCAGAGGCGCATATCTGGAGAGACACAAGCTCGCAGGCGAACTTTTTATTCCACAAGGCCATTCCTGGAAGAGCTTGAAAGCTGGAAATCTATCTGATACAAGAAGATCAGAAGATTTATTAACCGATCAAAGACTGCACCGACACCCGGTGCAGGTGAAAACCCACAGAGGTTTTATTTCCAAGGAGATGAGTTTCCTCCTTGTTGATTCAGTCAACTAAACGGTTCTTCATAATTTTCCCCTCCTGGATGGATGAGAAGTTACCATTTTTTTTTCTTGATTTGATCACGGACGCGTGATCCCCCCCCCCTTCTTCAGACCTGATCCCTCCTCAACTGGTGGAGAGAAGAAATCAGCGTCAAAGTAGTTTCGTTCTTTTTATATTAAACCGGATAGGTGCATTTAGATGTCTGGGCAGGATGAGGCATAGTTAAAGTGATGTAGGATCACCAGTAGTTAATCCAAGGTATCAACTTGTTACAGGCAATACTGATACAAGTGTCTTATGCTGAGTGGTGTTTTGATTTGCTGCGCAAGCGCTGCTGAATCAAATGTGTTCATGTTTTGTCCGGCTGATTCCAAATCAGCCAGGAGTTAGATGTTGGACTTTTAAAAGTTTTCATTCAAAGCAACAGTGGTCTGTACCTCGTGGTCTGATCACTCTTTTGTTCTAGTTTTATTACCGGAGTTTTTCCACTGAGTTCCCGCCTCAGAGTTTATGACCGTTTGTCAAGATTTGGGGCGATCAGTTGGTTTTTGCTAAAGGGGCGTGGCCCCACCGTTTTATCAACTGATCGCTGTAATCGAGACTTCAACCCCCCAGGAGGACTTCTCTTTCCATTTAACCCAAATTACACATTTTGTCCATAAAACCGCTGGTTTGATGTTCATAGACACTATATGCGCATATATTTTTCTTTTATTATTATTGTTAGGTAGTCATTTTTATTCCCTTTGTGTAGAACAGTGCTTGTTAGTTAGGTGAAGGTTTTTGGACCAGAATAATGGTATATCAGGATTATTTGGCTTCAATAAATCTTCATATATATAATTAAGAGAAGCGTTTGTGTTTATTTCGTGCAAGAGTGATTTATCTGTCAAAACAAGGTCGAAGAATAATTCGAATAATTGTAATTATTAAAGAGCTTTGAGCCCATAATCATAACACCAGAGGACAGCTCTGATTTCTATTCGTAAGTAATGAGTTTTGGTGAAGAAATTATTATTTTTTTTTATTATGATTTTAAATTATAATTCTTGATGAATATTAATTAATCAATAATCATCATCCTTACAAATTTAAACACTAACACATTAACTTTAGGAACAAAGTTTAAATCAGTTTATTTGCAGAGCATAATAATAATATTTTGTATTATTATTATTAGAAATAAACCAAAGATTAATATTAGATTTCATCTGACTGAATTATATCTGTTTAACTTCCACCCATTGGGGAAACCCAGTGGGATTTTGAAAACAATGTTCCGGGAGTCAGCTGTTCTCTCGGGGTTTAGCGCACCTCTACCACCCGGTCAGCTGACAGCTGCCGAGGCGAGCCGGCTGCTGGGGCAGCGGACAAACACATCGGCGCATTTGTGCAATTAAGCGATATCTTGATAAACAGATCAGATATTTTAGGGTTTACAGAACTACATTTTCGTCTAAAAACATTGATAAAGTTCAGTTGTCTCACAGAATGTGCAATATAATTTTATTCACAGCTTTATTCTGTCCTCCGGCCTTTGCTACTTTCGTTTGAACAATCTACTTCGACCCGCAATGAATTATGGGATAGGGTGGGCCACGGAAGATTTTAATGCATATTCTGGTAAGGTTGTTAAAAAATGCAAGTAAGTTGTTTCCTTCGCCAAAGTAAAATGATGTTGGTGGGACAAAAACTTTGTATTTTAGTTTTTCTTCCCCAATATCTGCACACATTACTCGCTATCTGGGCTTTAGGTTTGCAATAGACCCAAAGCAGAAAGACATCTAGTTTGTTTAGTTATGTATTTGTTTATTCACCAGTAGTATTGCATATTACATGTTTTCCTGATATTGTGTAGCCTTAGTTCTGTGTTAGGTTTTTGCTGACTTTTCCCCCTACTTCCTAAAGACAAGATATGACTTTCTGATATTGTTCATCTTTTTAGGCTTCATACTAGTTCTTTTGTCCTTCACTCTACTAACTTGTGCACAGTATGCTTTCAATGGTGATCTACAAAGAGTGAGCTAAACCTGACTGATGCAGTTGCCCAAATGCAATGAAAACAACACAGGACTTTCAGAAACCCTGGAAACTGTTGACTTGTAGAACAATTAGCTAACTATTGGCTTGTAGAAGAAAATTACATATAAATTAGAAATTGTTTATGCTGTCTTTTTTTAGTATTCTAGTCAATATGATTCCTAAAGTCAGTTACAGATGCACCTGGCAAACCAAATGGACAAATTGCTGAATGTAGAAGACCAAGTCTTTCAGTGAAACATTAGGCCATGGAGAAATGGAAGTTGCATTCCTCTACATTAGGACGTTCCATACTTGGTTTATTCCCTCGAGGCCTCCTCCATCCTGCCTTTTCCAGCCCTCTTGGTTCTTCTTTTACCTCATACTTCTCCCTCATCCATATTTCATCCTGTTTTTCACAACACCTTATGTCTTCTCCCTCCCATCTGTCCCTTCTACTCTCCCTCACTTTCTTATCTGTCTGCAGCTTTCCCTCCCTTCAGCCCTCTGTCTCTCCACCCATGGTTCAGGGCTCGAACCCATGTCCTCCTCCTCCTACACCTCCTCCATGATATCCTTTCTGTGTTAGCCGGTGGTCTTTTGAAATGTCCCAAAAGAATTGATGTATCCTCCTTGGCGCTCAGCGGGCTGTAATAGATGATTGACACGATTCTCCAAATCACCTCAGGGAGGGAGGAAGGCCAAAATAAGGGAGGAAGGCTCCCTTCTACATGCATGGATATGTAACTCGTATGTGCAAATCAAGTTAAGACTACTAAAACACTGACTGCATCATCTGCTGGGCTTTGTTCCAGTAGGGCCAACACATTACTCCTGAAAACCGCTCTGTATGTGGCGATTAGCTGTTTACATTCTTTGAGCCTTTCACAGATCCACTCCCATCTGCATCCCTGCAGGTCAGGGGTGGGGGTTCAGAGGTGAAAGATGAGGTTTGGGGCTGCTCCTCCAGGAGGAGAGGAGCTGGTGTTGGAGGTCCCCTCAGCCAGCCCTCTTGGTTCAGTTTCAGAAGAGAGGAACCTCCTCCAGCTCCCCTCTTGCACATCTGGCTGCCCCCAGAATGCTCATTTGGAAAGAAAACAAGAATGTTTTTATTTCCCAGGAGAGTAGAAGAACCACAGAGTTAAAACACAGAGAGGCGTCCTGGGCCCTCACACAGCCTGTTGCTGGGTTGAAATGGTGGAAGGTTCCTCTTATTTCCCGGTTTCTGTTCTTATTATCTTTTTCCTTGCACCTGGTATTTGTTTTTATTCCTTTTTATATGAACTACATTGTTCTAATTTCCCAAAGAGAAAACCAGTGGGCACCTTGAACCAGTTCCTTGTAACAACGTTAGTAATTTTCATTTGAAGGTATTCCATGAAACTGATACTGATATTTTTCTTTCTACTATATAAGTAAAGGCTTGAAGTGAGCCAGGTTGAGACTGGTCATGAGAGCAGAAAAGTAAATGCACGACCATAAAGAGACAGAGATGACATGCCATTGTGTAAAGAGGATATATAACATGAGGCTATTTAGTGACAGGGAACTGTATTGATCTTTGCTATATAAAAGCAGATCATCTTAAACGACTTCTGTTGTGATCTGGCGCATTATGGAAAATAAAATTACCTTGAACTATGTGGGGGACAGGAATACCATAGGGGGCAATGATGGGAGTAACCCTGCAGGACCTGGGGACTTTGCTGTCATTAAGTCAGCCCTGAACTTCTCTTTATAAAGTATTCCAAAGTTGAACATGGGATCATCAGGATGCTGCAGTTTGGCCCAGACAAGGGCAAGAGGACAGTGATATCAAACACAGCAGCAAATCAAAATGAGAATGGCTGAAAAAGAAAATAATGAATATGGTCCAGTGGCCCAGTCAAAGTCATCAGAGCCGAGGACAGTTGTGCAGAAAAACAAATGCCTGCAAACATTAGTAAATGCAGCGTTGTTAAGAACAGTGGGCCAAAATTTTCCAAAACAATAAGAAAGACTGATAAATAGTAAATCAGTGTGTACTTTGTTCTCCACTCTTTGCTTTTGTATTTTACCCTCATTGTTTTTTAATGAATCATTATGATTTTGATTTTTTTTTCTGTTTTTGTGGACTTTAGGTTACACTCAAATAAAACCTGCACCTGCAAGAAATCATATTAGATTTATTCATTCATTCATCTTTTATGCCGCTTATTCCATAGTGGGTCACGGGGGAGCTGGTGCCAGTAGTCTACGGGCGAGAGGCAGGGTACACCCTGGACAGGTCGCGAATCCATCGCAGGGCAACACAGAGACATACAGGACAAACAATCATGCACACACTAATTCACACCCAAGGACAATTTAGACAGACCAGTTAACCTAACAGTCATGTTTTTGGACTGTGGGAGGAAGCCGGAGTACCCGGTGAGAACCCACGCATGCATGGGGAGAACATGCAAACTCCATGCAGAAAGACTCCCGGCCGGGAGTCGAACCCAGGACCTTCATGCTGCAAGGCAACACTGCTACCAATTGCACCACCATGAAAGATTAATGTAGACATGTAAAACTCTATAGTAGAAATCAAATGTTAATTGTTCAAATATGCATTTTGTATGTGTTGCATAGGTTAGCTGTTATTTTTGGATGATGTATCAAAGTTCTTTCAGTAATGGGGCTATAGGAAGAAGATTTAATGTAAGGAGTTGAGCAACAGGGACACATCTGTCAAGTATTTTAGATGGTTGTTATTTGTTTTGGAAAAGTAAAAAGCATTTCCTATTTATTATATTTAATCTATCCCCCAGTGGGCCCACCATCTGCAGGGGGAACCGTGAGGGACCAGTGCAAAGAGGATTGGGTGGCGGACGAAGGTGGAGACCTCAGCGGCCTGATCCCTGGATGCTTAGGCTGGCTCTAGGGACGTGGAATGTCACCTCGTTGGGGGGGAAGGAACCTGAACTTGTGCGGGAGGTCGAGAGATATCGACTAGAAATAGTCGGGCTCGCCTCCACGCACAGCGTGGGCTCTGGAACCCATCTCCTTGAGAGGGGTTGGACTCTCTTCTA